TCTCCAGGGAGACCGGGCCCCGCCCCCGGCACCGACACCCGGTACGGAGCCCACCTGTGCGGGCGTCTGCGGGGTCCCAGTGCCCCCCTCCGTGCACGCCCCGCCCCGCCCAGCGCCGGGCTTTGTCTGGCTGGGGCGATTGGGGGCCCGGGAGCGTGGGGGTTGGGAGAGGCGGGCGCGTTCCTGGGGAGGACCAGACCCCGTTCGGGAGGCCGAGGCAGCGGGCCGCGCTCGCGTTGTAATTCTCTGGTGTGGGCTTTTCTGATCCCGCTGCATCCCTTTTATGCTTGGGGGGCCGGGAATCCCGGGTGTCCCGCTACCGCCCTTGATGGGATGAGCTGGGCCCTCAGCTGGGCTCCGGACGAGGACGCGCGCCTATACAGGGCAAGCTGTTTACTTGTCAGGGATCGAGCAGTTGCGGTGCGCGCCTACCCCTCCCCCTGCCCTGGAATCGGGACGGAGCATCCTGCGTTCTGACCGTTCCTAGCATTGCCTCCCAAAGCTTTGCCCTTGAACCCAGTGGGCTAGAGGGCGGCAGACCCAGCTCCTGAGGTCCCGGTCAGCATGAGGGCCAAAACAGAAGACGTACCTTCTTCCCGGGGAAGAGCCTCCTCCCTGGCTGCCCTCTTGTGAATTCTGTCCCGACTCCCTATTTCCTGACCTGAATTCCTAAGGACTAAGCCCTTCCTTGCTTCTCTAACTCTTCTTTCCCTCGGCTCCATCATGCTTTCTCCTTTGTCTTTTCACGTTTTGAAAGTGCTTTCTCTGTGATCCGGTCTCTTTTCCCGGTGACTGAGCTGATGTTTCTTGGCCTCTTGTTAGTTAACTCCATTGGTCAGCAGTGGAAGTTATTTCTTTATTAGCTCTTGTCGCTGACACTGATGGCAGTTCCTTGGGAAGTCTTTGCCATCCTTCTCTGCATGCTGAGTGGAGGGACCATCCAGGCCCATCTTCCTGGGCTCTTCCAGCGGGGTCCATAGGGTATCCTTCCAAGGGATTGGGCTGGCAGCAGCGAGAATTCCAGCTTGGACCTTGGGAAATGTGTGCTTGGAATGGCACCTTTTCCAATGGCTTCCTAGAACTGGGCTTTTGTCTCATGGAGCAGTCAGTGGTTTAGGTTTCCTGCTCTTCAGGGAGCCCTTTGCAGCCTAGCCTGGGGGTGGGGTGGGGGTGGGGGGGTCCAGGCAAGAGTCTCCTGCTGTGCAGGTAGCTGGGGGCTGGGGGAGTGGGTTGATACTGGAGGAAGGGGCGTGTCTTGCTGCTGGAACTCAGCTGCCTGGGCTTCCGGAGCTCAGGTGTCTTTCTCTCTCTGGGGTCAGATTATTTCCCGTAGCCGCCCACAGTTGGGGAAGAAGCACCACAGATGCAGTGAGTGGGTGGACCCCTCCCCACATCCCCTTCCTTTTTGTCTCCAGCATGCAGGGATGAATCTTCCTTTATGATGTGATTTGGGTCTTGAGTGGGGACCTCAAGTTCACGGACCTGCTTTTTGCAGCCGTTGAATGGAACTCAAACCCAGACTTGGCTCAGATCACTCACTTTGCTTTCAAAAACCAAACAAAACCAACAAACAACTCTCAAAATGATCTGAGTCATCTATATGTATATAAATTCCTGCTTTAGGCACTGGAATTGCTCCTGTGGTTTACTTCAGTACCACCAAAGGGAGCTGGGGGTGGCATTGACACAGATGGTGAAAAAGGCCCATCCAGCACAATGTGACTGGTTTGCAAAAAGGGAACCTCAGTGAAACAGTCGCTTTTGAGCTAAAGTCCTGTAAGAGAAGGCACAGAAGGTTTCTGAGACTCTCTTTTAAAACATTTTCTTTCTTTCTTTTTTTTTTCCCAGACAGATAAGGAGCTCAGAGTCAGGCAAGGGCGGAATGATGCTCACTGATTCCAAAGCATCTTTAATCTGCCAGGCAGAGGGGCCTTTGCTGCTGGTCTCTCTTGGACCATTCCAGAGAGGTAGGTTGGGCAAAGGAGGCAGTATGGGGGTTGGGGGGAAGAAGAGATGCTATTTCATAGATAGGTTAAGAATTTGAATGGAATCCATCCTCCCGGACTATCTAGCCAAAAGAGAACTTCTCTATAGGACTAGAATGCCAAAAGGGAGGGAATGATCCAACTTTGTGCTAGTTGCCGATGAAGAGGTACATGAACTGGACCTCAGCCAGCTTCCCAAGAAAGGGATGCTGTAGCCTGGGAAGGAAGGGATGACTTTGCTCCGAGGAGTCCTGGAGACCATTATTAAGCTGCAGCATTTGGTATTTGACTTACACTGTTCATGGCAGACTTGGGCTGGCCTATTTGGGGAGAGAAATATTAAAACATTTTTCTGAAGGAAGTAGATTGGATTTCCATAACTTGATATTGTTTCTCAGGGAGTCCTTAGGTGGGGACATTCTGTTCCTCTAGAGAGTTGGCAGTCACTGTACCAGTAAAGGGACGCTCCTTGTAACTTCTAGGACATTAGGACATTAGCTTGGAAGATGAATATAGTCCTTTCAGTGTGCAAATGAAGAAACTGAGGCCAGAGATTGACGTTGGCTGAATATTGGCTAACTACCCCCCTTTGGTGTCTGGGGGTAGCTGGGTAGCCAGTAGCAAGTCCCCAGTTTGGTAGACCAGCAGTCCCATTTGCTGGCTGTGTGGGTACATATGTACTGTGGGTGTACAACACTGTCCTCTTTACATGGATGCTTGGGTAGCTCCCATCCTTTCTGATGGTTTGGGTGGGGTGTGGGGGTACATCATGGTGTCATCTTTGGAGGCTTTCTCTCCACCCCAACCTCATTTCTTCTAGATCTTCATCGGTACTTTCCAAACATCTTTGTTAGTGTGGATCTCTTTTAAAAGATCAAAGTATTAAGCAGAATTTTAACCTATAAAGCAGATAAAAAGAGTGCCACTGTGGTCCAAGTATAGACTGGCCCAGAACTCCTTCTACTCAGCACTCTGTCCTACCCCACCATTTTCTGAGGGCCTTGGAGTGTTTCTGTGGAACCCCAGGGCTCCCTGGAATATAGATGAAACCCATGGATTGTGTAGACCTGTGTTGGGGGATTAGAGTTTCTTATTAAAGAAACTCCAGGAAAAAAATCTGGAATTGGAGGAGTTTCCACACTAAGAGTCTCAGCACAATGAATGATAAAACATCCATTATGACAAAGTAAAAGATGTTCTATGGGACATCACCAAGAACTTTCAAAACTCCAGAGACAGAAGTTACTAAAAGCCAGCACAGGGAAAAGGGGCCACGTTCTGATCAGAGAACAGAATGGTACTGGGCTTTACGAAATCAAGACCAGAAGCTACAGGACAATGGAGCAACTCTTTAAAATTTCCGAGGGAGATTAATTCCCAACCCAGAATTCTGTAATCATCATTCAAGCAAAATAATAGAATAAAGACATTTTTTAGACATGTGAATTTTCAAAAAATGTTATATACCCCCCCACATCCATTGTATCCGTTTTCAAGGAAGCTACTGGAGGATGTGCTCCACTAAAATGGGAGAGTAAACCAAGAAAAAGGAACAAGTGATACAATGTGCCATTGTCTTCTGTTTCTCATTTGGCTCAGCTGCCAAATAACTTTGTATATTTCAGTTATTATCTTACTTTTTGAGTCTGGAGAGTAGGGAGAAAAAAAACAAAAACAAAAAAAAACACTTACCCCAGCATGGGAACTGAAAAGTACTCTCTTTCAAGCCTCCCCTGCAGCTAGGACCTGTGACCTAGAATCCATTGATGAGATATACCTGTGTTATATTTTGACAGAGAAGAGAGGGATGAAGCATGTGCTGTTTCCATGGTTATGGTGGTGACAGCAGGGATGGGCTGCAATGTTGAGTTCTTGGTACAGAAGTAGCTTGGGTACAAAGTAGCACCCAGTACTTGGTGGCAATACCAGCCATTTTGCCATCACACATGATTCTTCATCGTGGAGTCCACATAGTGTACTACAATTATCTTTCTTTTCTTGTTCAACTTTTTGTTTTCACTGGACTTGATAGTTGCTTCCTATTTTCATTTGCTTTTTTTTCAACGTACTAGTCATTAATTCTTCCTCAAACTCTGGGGGAAGAATTACATATTTATACATAGAAAACAAAATTTAAAACAAGGCAGCAATCAACTATAGGAATAGCAAAAATTGAACAAGAAAGGAAATAAAATCATAATATTTGCATAGTTATAATAATGGAAGCATTGAAGTTTGATTAACAAAAAATGATCATATAGCTATTCAGAAGATGGGGGAGAGGATATGTGCATGTGCGATGTGCAGGAAAGCACAAACTCACCTTCTATGGTAAGAAGTTAAAAGTGGGGAGAGGGTAGGGCTCAAGTGGCAGAGCGCATGCTTAACATACACGAGGTCCTGGGTTCAATCCCCAGTACCTCCATCGAAAAAACTAAATAAATAAATACACCTAATTACCTGCAAAAAAAGTTAAAAGTTGAAGACCAAGAACTATCAGTATAGACCTAATATTCAGAAATGCGGAGATAAATACCCAAGGAAACAGCTGAAACTGGAGGTAGTATGTTTGGATGTGGAGGTCAGGGAACTGCTAATTTTTGGCTGCAGGTATTTTTAGTTTTGATTAATTTTTAAAATCATGTGCTTGCGTGACTTCCATAGATATTGACATTTGAATGTTGTTATTATAACATCCATATCCACCCACATGATAGCTGTTTTCTTTTTGTCTATGCTTTCTGAAATGTTTTGTCCACAAGCACGTTGCCGTGGTATACGTCTGTGCAGTATCGGTTTCATTTGACGTGGGGTCTGTTTGCAGTGCTGTGTGGTGTGCACAGGTGCCCTTCTAATGACTACATTCACTCTTATTAAGCCAATATATTATAATTTACTTAGCCATTTCTTTATTACTTTTGATTTATAACTTTCACGAACAATACCTCAATGAATATCTTTGTGCAGGTAGCTTTTCTCTTTTTATTTCACTTTTGAATTGCTTCCTTAGGACAGTTCCCAAGTTCCTCAAATTACCAGATTGGAGATTATGGCTCTTTCTCCTGGTTTTGCTGTGTGGTGTCGGGGGGCCTCTGTGTGGGTGCAGGCCTGAGGCTGCCTGGGTAGGCTAGGAACTGAGCATCACAAGAGACAGGATAGAATTTTTTGCAGGGTCATTGGCTCATTTGTCCTGATGGCAGCAACAGAAGTCAGAAATCTCTCTCTCTTTTTTCCATATAGAACAGAATTTCCAAACACCTACACCTCTCATTCTTTGATGCCTGTCTTGGTTTTCCCTGTTGAGGATTTTTTTTTTTTCTTTTTAAATTATTCAGAT